TCGTCAGCCAAAAACAAATAAACAAAGTGGGATATTATAACAGGCCTTCCCAGGCGAAGAGGTGACTTTGTTGTAATGTAACCGTGTGGAGTGAACCACTGCTTGCTGTGATGAATACGGAGTCAAACGGAAACTGCTGTATTGAGCGAACAACAAAGTGAGGAAGGAAGAGAGTTCCAGAGGAACGAGAGCTTAAATACAGGATGCCAGCAGCGCGCACGTGACACATACTACATGCTGCGCTACACGTGATCAACCCCTAGTTCCTCCAACTCCGTAACATCTACTATCTTTTAGAAAGATAATATAAGTACTCTACTATCTCTAGTATCTATAGTATATTTTTAGAAGGTAGTTGAGGTAGTATAGTAGTATTCTAGTATTTTATAGTAGTAGAGTTATTAAGTACTTTTAGCTTATTTATAGTATAAATAGCTTTATAAACAAAGTCTTAAAAAGTATTATAAGTCTCTAATCTATATATATATATAATACTAATTAGTATTAGTTTAACTTTATTATTAAATATAAGGTATAATATAAGAATAGGCTAAACCTTTGTATTAGACTATTCCTATTATTAATATATACCGAGTTAAAGGTATAGAAGTCTTACTACGATAATATAGGTGGGACTAGCCTAGTTAGGTAGTTTATACTACCGAGTATATTCACTCGGATATTATAGCGACAGATACTATTATAGCAAGATAAGATTACATTGAGACTGCATCTGACTAAACTGCCAATGGAGACACCACAATACTAGGCAAATCTTTAATGTCAACATGCTCCTGTGAACCCAAATCCACGATTCTTACTGCTTCGATATCCACGATTCCCACTTTTAAAGCCATGAACTTCAACTCTACCTCATAACACGCCGATGGTGCTAGGGGACCAACCCGAGTGTCTGTACTCAAGCACACGATATCAGTGGGCTCAATAGCCGCGTTCTTTTGCATGGCATGAATGATATTGTCGTCAACAAATGCGTCTGCAACTTTGACATCTTTTCGGCCGCCTACAGATGGAGGACGAGTCATACGAGTCTCGGTGCGTCGTCGCTTGGGCAGAACTGTGATAGAGAGCTTCCGTGGTCGGTCGGAACGGTTTACAATAAAGACAGACCAGTTAAAGGGAACCCCTGGATAGATGGGGGAATCTATAGAAGGTGCTGTGAAGGTCATAGTGACTCCAAAATTGGGAACTGAGGAGTTGCGGTGTTGATGACTAGTGATGTCTACGGATGGCAGTGCATCAGAACGGGCGTTGGCCAGACTAGAGGCTGTGGGCATATCTGCAGATGATCCAATAGATAGGTGAGCTGGCCGATGCGGTCTCTGTATAGCTTGGGTCGGAAGACCATAACCCGGATTGACAGGAGGCGTAAAATCGAGAGACGTAGTCCATTGCATGGATATTGTTGGGTGACATACAGCTGTCAGATGCGCCATTGCTACGATGGAAATATCGAGATTCCGAATCTGCGACTTAATCGTTGTATCCAAGTCATCTGCCGAAAGGCGATAAAGAAACGTAACATCATCTTGCGGGAGGCACTGTATAGGCAACTTCATGCCTGAGGCGACATTCAAATCTTCAATACTGCCACCACTGATATTGAGTTCGACCTTGTCGAGCGTAATCTTGCAGTTGGCAAATGGAGTGATATCAACGTCCAACGATGCCAAGACCGACATGTTCGAGGATGCAGTAGTTCTTGAGTACCTGACACGAGCATTAATCGCGGGGAAGATTTTGACAGATTGGCGGGATATGTTCTTCAGTGGACGCAGTAATTCTTTCGTGGTCTGGGTCACAGGTCTGACTTGGGATACCCTCAGCGCCGATAGTCGTGGTTTTATACCCCCCATGGCAGGATCGTTGCTGAAAGCCTCCAGTAAATTCATGCCAGAAGGAACCTGGCTAGGGAGATACTCTTCAGTGATAGTCTCCTTTTCTACTTGTTCTGGCGCTCTCAAGCCGGCTGTGGCAGAGAATACCAGCGAGGGGCTCTGGAGACGCAGTCGAGGTCTGGCAAGGAAGGCAGTCAACTTCCACACAACCAATATGCGCCCAGACGCCCCAGACGCAACAGCCCCCTCGCTTTCGTCTGGTGCTTGAACCACTATGGTAGGCTCTTCGCCATCTTGGACCGAAGCTGTATAGATAACCTCTTGCCCCAAAGGGCCCTCCTGGTTCTCGGCATGCGCGTTGACCACTTGCCCTTCCATATTGATCACTAACCTCCCGAGATACGATCGTAGTGCATTCTCATCGAAGTAAGGTGTTTGCAAGACTACATACAAGTCCACAGTCTCATCTATTATCTATGAATGAGTAAGATATTGATTCCACAGAGAAATTAGGCAAACTGACCGAAGAAGAGGGTTTGTCTTTGGGGGATTGCCGCGAGTGGGGAGCCGTGGCCCTCATCCATACGCTCGATGCATGCACCCAATGCCTCCTCGATATTGAGATTGCTTTCCAGAGGAATGATTGTGTCAAGCGCTGAGCTCTCGACAATCTCCAAACTACATCGTGGACGGGTCTCCTCCTCCAGCTCCAGCTCCGTCTCCGTTTCCGTTTCCGCCATCATGTTGGGCTAGTGCAGAGCTCAGAGTGGAAGGCTGAATGCTCCGTTATTTGCAAGAGTTCGGGCCAGGGTTGAGGTGAATGGGTGAAAACGAGTTGTATTCAAGAAATACTGGGTAGCCCCATATTTGCTTTGGACCATAGGAAAGCGCGATGGGAAAGCGCGATGGGTGTACTCGAGTACTGTATTTGTGTTGTCCTCTGACCTGACGTTGACCTGGGGGAGCTTTGTCCACAAGCAAGGCTGCCAAGACTCGTTCCTTCCTTCCCACTTTCTGAGAATACCTTAAGTGAAAAACCTGGTCCAAGTGCAGTCTCTACAGATGGTTAGACGAGGGTTAAAACGCTTTGATCATTAGGGTGTTAAGAATACTAGAGAGATAATCACGTGGGCTTTTGAGTACTAAGGACTTTTAAGAGTCAAGTCCCGCTTAATAGTTAATTTTTTTTCTTCAGCCTTAGGCCGCTAATTTGAGTATTAAAAACACGTGGTCTCAAGAGGTCCTAGCGTGCCGCCGACAAGCACCCGGCGTATATAGCCCGGCCATCCTAATACGTAACACCCCTATAATACTATACTTCAATACCTACTACTACGACATACGTGAGCCGGGCATAATACGCGCGTACTATTTTTTAGCTAAATCGATCGAATCTACAACTAATAATCTGCTTACGTTAGTGCTCGTTATATACGCGCGATACCGAGTATGAAAAGCATCCCTATAAGCTATAACGTAGTATTATAGAGTTTCCCCGACTGCCGTGCACTCTCTTTGTAGGCTAAAAGACCCTTGATTATTAAAGAATTACTAAGAGCTAAAGGGGTTGGTAGCCAATTAGTGGTTAAGAGCCAAGCTCGCTTAAGAGCTTACGCTTTTTAATAGTTAAAATCTTGGCTATCACCTGAGCGCTAAAAAGGGTTTAACCACCACACGAGAATTAAATTTGATTGGTCATCTGTTGAGTATCTGTAGAGACTGTACCTAGACTAGCATTTTCCCTTATGGTACTGGAGTATTACATGTATAACATAACCTCCTAGGGGACAAGAAAAGTAACAGAGTCATCTTTTATCTTATCCTAACTTAGCTATAAACTATTATATTATGATATTCATTTAGAAATTAGAACAATTAAAATGATCTATCTAAAACGATAGTATAATAAAGGCAATTATTCTAGATATTTAAAATATTTTGGTACTTCGAATCAACTTATACTAATAGTTGAGAAATAAATTCCTACCTAGTGGTTCAGTACTTTGAACGAAGCAATAAACTAAGGCTTACTAGGTACCTACAGCATAAAGGGATAAGAGGAAATGCCAGCAGAATGAGCAAAGGTAAGGTCAAAGTAAGGGATCCTCGAAAAGATGGTGCAACATGTGTTTTACTAGCTCCCATACAACACGCACTTGGGGTATTCGTATCCTATTCCTCGTAATTACTTTTGTATTCCTCAAACTAACGCCATTTTGTCTAAGATACGACTTTGTTACTGCCTACCAATCATCATCCTCGTCAGATCCATAATCAACTAGCCCCAAAGAGCTTTTCGTCGTAGCTGGTGGCTTCTTCGTCTCCACAGGAGCTGATGGACCCGATGGGGAAGTCTGTGGAGTTGGTTTCAAAGGAAGAGCATTTTTCGGAGGTTCCGGCTGGTTCGTTGGCATTGCCTTGTTGATCACAGCATCATCCTGTCGTTGGTTGTTGCCCTTGTCTGCTTCGTTGGCAGTTGAAGACCTTCGAATCTTGACACCCTTCAGAACTTCCTTCTCCTTCGTACGCTTGCGTTTTCTTCTACCCGCATTCCAAGACTCTTCTCCAGCGACCGGTGAGCCTTCCTTCGCATCTGGCGCAACATCACCACCCCGAGCCTTCTTGTCTGCTTCCTCTTGTTTCTTCCGGAATATGGCCAGTCCTTCTGCGGATTCTTTCTTTATGCGTGCCTCTTCTGCGCGAGTGCTCTCGAGGACTGAGTCAAGGAATTCGGCTTCGTCTTCGTCGAGGGCGCGAAACTGGTTCTTTAATCGATTTGCTTCAATAAATGCTTCTTCTTTGGCAGCTGGTTATTTCAAAGCACCCCTGCGTGATCAGCCTGGGTACTTCAATCAATTGACTTGGTAAAATCCGCCCCCTTCCACAAAATACCTTTGTTTGCTTGGAGAGTCTCGAACAGGTTGGAGGTCTTCCCATCTTGTTGGCGAGCTTGACGAGCTTCCTCGGCTTTCCGATCTAGCTCCTTTTGCGCCTCAAGCCATTCGTCGCTCCGCTCAATTGGAGCATCTGTGGTCCCACCTGATACGAAACCAGAGGACATGTTTAGGATCGTGTGATGTGTGGTTTGGAGAGAGGAGCTCCCCTCCCTTGTCCATCTCAGCCTTATGAGAGCGGAATAATCTCCGGCGGGATATCGGAGAGACTCTATACGGCCCGGTTGTCGGAGGGTACTCGTATTACTGCCATTTTTTAGTACCCACCACGACATCACCCCACCCCACCAAAGTTTACCCCTCCTCGAGCCCCTCGCCGATGATTGTGGAGCGAGGTGTTCTGTTCATACACTATAACGTCATAACCATCCTTGAATGCTGATTGGCGCGCAAGTCAAAGACCCATCTGGTCTCCCTCCCACTCTGTGCGGACTTTTGCCTCCTCAAAAGGTTCTGTGGTGTGTTAAGCGAGGTTAGAAGCTTTACTTCGGTGTAATGATAGGTGGAATGACGCGGGAGAAGCTCCATACGTGATCCACCACCTAGATAGTTTCCAGGTTTGGCATGCTTCTTCATGCAGCCGCCTTCTGTAAGCTTGCCCGATCTTGGGAAGGCGGACGATCCGTTGTTATAAGTAGAAAACCATCTCCCATCCTCCCAAATTTGCATATATTTGGCTCTTTTCGTACACTCCAAACAACTAGGAGAAATTGAAAACCAACATACTCAGCTCCCAAGAATACAGCAAAGATGGCTACCTCGTAAGAATCTCCTTATTTCAGTCATGATTACAACCCCCCCCCTCCCACTTGAGTGTAATTCTACATCCTAATTCAAGAACGTTCAACTCACAATGCAATCTTCTTAGAAAGACATATACTCTCAACACTGGAGCAAAGATTCCAGCTCTAGGTCTGGGAACATGGCAATCAGGACCGAATGAGGTCGAGAAAGCTGTCGAGGCTGCCCTGAGAAAGGGCTACCGTCACATCGATACTGCTTTGGCATACGGCAATGAAGCCGAAGTCGGCCGTGGAATCAAGAACTCAGGCGTCCCAAGAGAAGAAATCTGGATCACCACCAAGCTCGACAACCCATGGCATAAGCGAGTCCAGGAAGGAATTGACTCTTCTCTCAAGTCTTTGGGCGTAGATTATGTTGACCTGTACCTCATGCACTGGCCATGCTCCACTGATCCAAACGATTTGAAGAAGCACCTCCCAGACTGGAACTTTGTCAAGACCTGGGAAGAGATGCAGAAGATTCCTTCTAGCAAAGCTAAGAACATTGGTGTTTCCAACTTTGCCATCAAGAACCTTGAGATTCTTCTGAATGACCCAACATGCAAGGTATTTCCATCTTAAGCATAAACATATCAGAACCATACTAAACTATCTCCAGACTGTTCCAGTCGTCAACCAAATCGAACTCCACCCAAACAACCCCTCCCCAAAACTCGTCGCTTACAACACTTCCAAGGGTATCCACAGCACAGGTTACTCCTGCTTGGGCAGCACCAACTCCCCACTCTACAAAGACCAAACCCTTCTCTCCATGGCTGAAGCCAAGGGAAAGACCCCTCAACAAGTTCTCCTCGCTTGGGGTCTACAAAATGGGTGGTCTGTCATTCCTAAATCCGTCAACAAGGAGAGGGTTGAGAAGAACTTTGAGTTGGACGGTTGGGAGTTGACTGATGAGGAGATTAAGAAGTTGGATGGTCTCAAGGATCGATTCAAGGTCTGCGGGGATGCTTGGTTACCTGTTAAGGTGTTCTTTGGAGATGATGAGTAGGCCTTTTCTGTTTAAGATGCAGTATTTTTATAGAAGTATCATTTAGAATTTGGCATTATTAGAGGTTTTTTCCTTTAACGTGGAGAATCTCACATTTTAACCTAATCTCCAAGTATCTGTGAAGATGGATAGCTTTCAGGGGCTGATCATGAACAAAACCACCTAACCACCTTGGTAGATTGATGATCCGAGTTAAGTATACCAGAAGCTAAAACAACGGAATGTGTGTTTACTACTATACCATATACCCAACTTGGATTCAGTTGCTTGTGATTATATTAAATCCATGAAACTCGACAACTCCTCTCTTCCCTCTGAGTGTTGTCTTGCTTTCCTGTTGTACTGGAGCAGAACAAAACAAGTTCATGGAGGGATAAATGGGCTTCCTCTATGCGTCTCTGTATGTAGTCATCCGAGGATTCGATACCAATGACTATACTTTATATCTGTCTAACAACCAAGTCCGATGTTGCATGACGAGGTGAGTGGGGCTAGCTAAGTCACTGCGTACTTAATACTTATGAATATCGTTGTACGTTAGTCCCAAAAGGGCAGAGCAAGCCGGCTAACAATTACAACCATTCATTGTTATATAGCGACAGGGGGGCATAAATTAGGATAGAACTCGTGTTAGGGCACATTTAGTTTCACGATTGGATTCTCTTAGATTCTTTGGAGGTTATGAATGACAACATAATAAATGCCCTCAAAACAGGTACTTCAAGTTGCGTACCTGTGAATCACAGGGTAGAGTTCTATAAGTAGCTCAGGCGCAACGTCAGTTTGGCAGGTTCTCATGTTGTAATGTCCATTTTAGGTGTAACAATGTTGGTTGGTTCTTTGTGAATACAAGTTGTAACAAAGAATAAAGGGGTTGTACCGAGTACTTATAGAATCTAATATTCGACCTACTTCCCTATCACCACACTCCACAAACATATTATTTCTGCTTCTCAAACTCACGCCAGCATTTTGAACACAACGACTTCTTTCTGAGCCCTCAAAGACACATATGCACCATGTCAGAACCAGACAACAAGCTTGACCACGTTATTGCTGCCGCTTTTGGGCTCTACGAGTCTAACAGAAACAATTTTCTCATAATCCTCAAACTCGGTATAGAGCACAACATTGCTGGAAGTTATACGAAGGGTGAACTTGGATCTGTTGCTGCTCATGTTAATGATATCATTGAGTCTGGAAAGATCGATGGCCTTGGAAACAACCCGAGGAGGAAGATAACTGGCCCCAAGTGCCTAGAACGTCTACAGGAAATTGAGAAGAGTCCCGATCCAACATTCAAATATGCCACTGTACCAGAGAACGCATCGGAGCTATATAAATGATGGGGACTTGCAGGGGTAAATGGTGAGAATGTAGGAGATGAGGTGGCTAAATACACCCCTGGCACTAAATTAGAAGAGGGGTGGAATGAACGTCTCTATCGCGAAAACTTATATAAGAGCCTACAGAAATACATTCATGGATTCATCAGGCCTCTGACCCCAACGAACGGCGCTAGCAAAACATGCCGCCTGGAGCAGCGACTCAGTGTCACGACAACCCACCATTTGAGTACGCTTGATTCGAGCCACAACAAGAAGCTTGAAGATGTGTTGAACAGTGGTTCTGAGGTTCCTCCTTCTGCAATACCAACATACAACTGGAACGCCGGTGTTTTTGAACTCCTCCACCGAGTATTAATGGTCAAATCCCGCGGTATCAACTTGTTACTTTTCTTTTACTGGGCTAAAGATTGGAAGTATTTCATGGTTATGTTTAGGTGCTTTTTTGGCGGGAGGCGCTTGTTTTATGCTAGATGTCTTGACTTTTATCAGTTTTTGGTTATTAAGAGATGGGTGGAGGGTTAGAGAACGTTTTAGTTAGTTGCTGTTGGAAAAGTGCGTGTTTCAAATGTTTTACATCAAGAAATATTCCACTATCGTGTGTGAAACTCGCTTAGTGACCACATATAAGAGGGACAAGTAACGTACAAACTAGTTTTTCCAAACGTGGAGAAGCTAAAGCCGTCTTGATTATGGAATTTTGCATAGTTATCGATAGTCTCGTAATGCGCATATCATATATTCTAAAGGACTCTAGAGGTAACATCCTTGGTGTTCGAATAAAAAGACAACGAGGACTGTTGACACAAAGAAGCCATTTCTTCATAAGCTATAAGCTACTCAGACAAAGTCTATGTGATAAAAATGACACGGGTAGTATATGGAAAAACTGCGGGAAACGCAGAGGACTTCCAATCAAGCTTTCTACTCCGTTTTGATCCTTTTCTGTCGGGGCTTACTCATACATATACTGTGTTATGCAGATATCAGATTCTTTTGGTCAGTTGACCATGAATTGAAGACATGAATGCAATGCACTTGGAACTTGAATTAGAATCACATGTCGGTGCCGCACATTTGTTGCGAATGTTCGAGGATATCGCTCACGCAACCACATTGACCCTGACGTGAATACTCAAATACTCTCATGTTATTTACAGTCCTGCTCTCCGAGCCGAATCACGGCCTTATGAAAAGCTCAGTGGATAATTATTGCAATCACTAACACGCAAATTTTAGCGGTGACTCAAGTCTCTCATACATTCAAGGTTCAAAAATAAGTGGGCACAGTAAGCGAGGCGGTCATTACTCTGAACACACCTCTGTTAGAAAAATATCATTCCAAAGCCTCACACAAGTACTATCGTTATAAGTACGCTTTTGTAAAACCAACCTTAGTATATCTCTTTATTAACCTAAGTGATTGGGAACAATCAGGTTGATGGTCTTATGAAATCTATCACAGTGGATTCTTAAGGTGTGTCTGATGTATCGGGTGGTCCAGGGTAGGTCTTTTACTCACAGATTCTGCTGCAGGCAGAGTGACTCTGAAGGATTGTTGAAAGACTATATCAAGTATGGGACGCTTCGTAGAAACTGCAATATGTTGAGTCAAAGTTTTGATATAGAATCTGTGAATGAGGGCCCAGGTAACCAAAATCGGTAACTCAGAGAACAATCACGGTAAAACTCCACTTCATGAATGTTCTTTCTAGTTAGTTAGATGTGTGTAACGTCCATAAGAAACTAGTATAAATACTTCGACCTCAGCATGTTCAATCCTCTTCTCCTTCTATCAAACAACACATACACACACTTCTTGCTCTATTTCTACCAAATACTACCCACATACAATTCTCGTTTCCCCAAAACCTTCTTGTCACTCTACAAGATCATCCATCAGCCCCTGTCGAGACTTTGTAACCATGTCTCAAGCAGCAAAACACCCTTTACAAAATGCTGTCAACTGTATTTATTTTATGGTTACGGTAGCCTACTCTCATATGGTACCTGGCCACTCTCTCGAAGAGTTCAAAATCTTCACAAAAATTGCCGAATCGAGCGTTTACTTGGCAACGCTGATCAAAGACGCCCTGAAGGATCAATGGACAGCAGAAAAAGACTACCGCCCCCGGGATTGGTCAGAACAAGTGGGTTGGTTTTCAGCTTGGCAACCGACTACCAGTGGACTCTTGCAACTACTGGAAGAGGCTAAGTTTGGAGAGGATGAAAGGGTTCGTAAATGCTGGATTCAATATTGCTATGGAACCGGGGTGTTTGGAATAATTACGAAGGCCCCAGAAGAAGCTTTGGACAAATCCGATTTCAAAGAATTTCAAGACAGGGTGGCTAATGCAAAAAAAGGAATGGACCTAAGAGAGTTTGAAAATCCTACACGTTTAGTACGAGACGACTTCCTTGGAGTACAACGTGAGGATGGGAGTGTCCAGAAAGGGGGCAGACTGCAAGCTTATGAGAAGCCCAATCTTGTAAAACCTCCTGGCTTCACATCGCCTATGGACTTCCTCAAGAATCGTGTTTGAACGCTGTCACTCTTCATTCAGTTACGCATTCCGAAGGACACGTTGGTATTTATGGTTTCATTGAAATTTTCCTGGCATTACGCGTTGATTTAATATTTTCCGGTTCAGGTTGGAGGTTTAGGGAGACTTGGTCTGGACTTCATTTGCGATTTGCATGTTGTTGGAAGCACACCCTTCAAATCACTAAAAAAAAAACCTGCGATGTTACTGCGTTGATTTAATCTTACTGTATTAGACATTTATGTAAACTAGAAAAACCCCCCAAAAAAAAAGCGTTGATTTTATATAAGATATTTTCCTGGTGATGTGTCAGTGATTCAGAGTTATATATAGTAAGGTAATGTGAAAATTGTATAGTCCTGCTCCATCGAAGGAGTTCCGCGCGGAAACTCGACTTTCAAGGAGTGAATCCAGATAAAGAACCAATTAGGGGGAACCTCGCTTAATTTTTTGCCACCCCCTTAAGCAGCAAATCACAACACTTGAGAATTAATAAGCTTTGATATATTATATACTCATCACCGCATCATTTTCGATCATGCCTAGCATTCTGCATGGCATCTTTTCAAGCCTTGCGATCAAAAAGATGCTCGTTTTATTATAGGTCCGCTTGAGGCCCACCTTTCACACGAGAATTATCTTGGTTTATACAACTTCTCAAACTTGGAAAGGGGGCTTGGAGTTAATGGGGACAGTCAAAAAGTATGAGATCTAAGGTTGCTTACTGTATCTCTCCTTCTCAAAGATATTCAGTTTTCGCGAGAATCACAGTCACAGTTCAATTAATACTGTACCCAGAGGACCATACTTGCTAAAAACCTAGAACTTTTTATTCCAACACATTCAACGAAAACCAAGATCAGCAAGAAGCCAACCATTCAATATCTGCTCGACGTAAGAAGTTTGACCTCCAAAACTGTTAATTATAATGTTCCTGTACTTAATAAGAAGCTTGATCGATCGCTGCCCTCGGTGTATCTGAGATTAAATAACCGAATCCTGGAACGGCGCAAAACAAATATTCAAAATGGATTGAATCTTTGTCAACATATCTCTTGGATCAATGAAGTAACTTGGTCCAAAACTTTACGCGCAGTATCTTCCCAATATATATGTACGCAGAGCGATGATCGAGTTTTGTGCTATAGGAAAACAACGATCGAAATGGGTTAGAGTAAAAACCTGATCGTGGTCGTTCTCATCATAGCACCCTAATAAATCCAAGACGAGAGAGCGAGGAAGGCAGCGGAGGTCGATGCCTCTCAATTAGACGGTCAGGTTCACAATTGAGGACCATCTACCCGAATGAACCATCTACATCTCTATCTTCAAGCGTATTTGTCAGCCTCGGCCAAGTCAAGACCTTCCAAGATTGCTCTCGAGGGAGAGTAAGCGACCAAGATAACGATACTCTCAGATAAAGAACGACCTTAAAACACGACCTTAAACTCGACCCGGATCTGCACTATACCTCTGTCTGCTACGGTATCCTAAATCTACCACTAAACCAGATGATTAAATCGCAAATCGCAAATCGCAAAAGTCCTATATTTACTACTACTATGCCAGAGTGCCTATACCCCCACACCCCTACCCTCGCTTAAACTTCGTAGCCTTGAAATTTTCACGTATATACTCGCTACCCTTACTGTTGTACCCTTACTATCGCACCCCCTTACTGTCGTACCCCCTCACTTTCGCACCCCCCCCGTCTCCCACTGTCGCATAGGGGTTGTACCCTAGTATGTTATTTAGAAGTGTGAGAGAGAGAGAGGGGGCAGTAGAGGGCAGTATATACACCGAACTATCTAAACACACAATAACATAAAATTTACAAGTACTTATTATATACTATATACATAAACCCCGTATAACCCTCCTATCTAATTTATTCGTACTATTAAAGGAAGGAAAAAAACGAAACATAGCTAAAAGAAAGGTCTCTATTATAGTACTTATACTATACTATCTCCTAGTAGATAAGAAAAGTAGTAGACCTTTTTTATCTTATCCTAACTTAACTAAAAACCATTATATTATATTATTTATTTCGAAAAATTCAAGTGATTTATCGAAAACGATCGTATAATTAACTTACTTGTTTAAGATATTTAAATCATTTTAGTACTTAGAATCAACTTACGCTAATAGTTAAAAAACAGAATCTCTACCACTTTTCTTGTCCACAGAGGCAGCGAAAAACATGTTTATTATATTCCAACTAAATATCATCCACCCACCCGCGAAAAGTGCCCTAGAAATAAACAAGAGGTATCTAACGTTCCAGCCATGACATGCCAAAATGCATTAAATCAAACACGTATCCTTCCCCCAAAAATGAATAGTTTAATGAATAACACATTGCAATGAAAAGAAAAGGAGACGAGTAAATTGAAGGGTTCCACTCGCGAACGACAGGCTGATTAGGATACTCGATGAGGATTGGCGGGTGATTAGTAAGTTGAAAAAAAGACACAAGAAGAATAGCAGATGCTATAATTACACGAACCAGCACAAAAAGAGGAACGCGACCCCATAAACCCTAACCCTAAATTATTCTCATGATTCATTGGCTTTGACCTGCCCAACCCCACGAACCAGCTGATCCAGGAGGTTGCTGTGGTGCCCAGCCCTGAGCACCAGGCTGGGGACCGGAAGTGGTGGGCATGAATTGCTGAGAGCCTTGGTCTTGCTGATAGAGTCCTCGCCCCGGAGCTGGATATCCTTGGGTAATACCTTGCATTGCTGGATACTGCAAAGCTGCCTGCTGCATTTGTGGGTTGCTACCAGAGTGGCGAAGCTGAGGTGCAGGTGGTTGGTGAGGAGTGGCTTGCTGAAGATGAGGTGATTGTTGAGATCCATGCTGTGAAGGATAGCTTGGGAAATTGTGCTGCGGGGATTGCTGAGGTTGAGATGGCGGCCACATTTGAGTCTGAGGAGTGAACGTGTAGGGATTGCCACTTTGGCTGAGGTTGCTTGAACCCATAGGCAAGCCAGGAGACCTTCCAATTTGGTCTGGCCGCATGGTCGTCTGACTAGATGATCGCATAGGAGTTTGGGCTACAGCATTAGATTGGTGGGTAGCTTGAGAATAATTCTGGCCCGCTATCATATGCTGAGCCGGCTGAGCCATTGTAGATTGCTGAACACCACTTTGAGTAGTTCGTGGGGATTGCAACGCTTGTGATGTAGGGATACCTTCATTCGTGCCAGTGGGTTGCTGTGCAAGGCCGGGATGGGCTTCGTGTCGTTGTCTCCAACGTTGATCGAGATACTCACTACTTCGACTTCTTTGAGAATTGACCTGCTTGTTGTACTCTGCCGCGTTCTGGGCTCCTGCCAAAATATCGGTAGCTGGGCTGGTCTGGGTACGATCTTGATATGCTGGGCCAGTGATTTCCTGTCGGGGTCTCTGAATACTGCTGTAGTCCCTCAATCGCATATCGGCTTGATCTGGGGCCAGAGTGATCATTGGAAGTGTTGTACCGCTACCAGGTGCACCAATCATGCCTGGTTGAACAGTCTGTGGCGGAGGTCCTTGTGGATGATGGCCTGGATAATGGGCTGGAGTATTGCTGTATACAATATTTTCGTGACCAAGGGCTAGAGAGGCATTGGCATTAGCTTCCGCAGCTGCTGCATCTCGAGCCTTTGCTGCTCCTGGTCTCTTTTCACCAGCCAGATCCTCCTCTGTGAAGCCCTGTTTCCGTGCTTTAGTCTCCCAATAGTCATCCCGGACCCGCCTCCCATTGATAATCACTCTACTTCCAAATTGCCGAAACATGGACTTAGCGGTAACAATTGCGATTTGGCGAGACCGGTACGAGAACGGAAGAATTTCTTGATGGATCAGGTCTTCCTTTTCAGTTTGAGTAGCAATTATTTTGTAAAGGGAGCGATTTTTGTTGAATAGCAGATAAGAGTCTCGATAACCCAATACACGCGCACACTCTGTAGCAAGCATAAAAAGCTTATCCCCTCTATTTGGCACGAAGAATGTCCGGCATCTATATTCGCGTCCTTCTTGGAGGTGTCCCGTCGCTGTGACCTTTTTCTCTCCTGCCTCATCATATTCCCGGGGGACGTACTCATCTCCTTCTGGGCCTAGTTGGTCTGTCGTGTGGTCTCGGACGGTGGGTAAGGCCTTGATTATGGTTTTGGTTGGAGTCGTCTTGGGCGGTGATGATTGTGTAGGAGTAATGTTGGTCAACTGTGACTGAGGAGGAAGGGTGGTTGTCTGCGATTGAGGCGTTTGCGGAGGGGGATTATTTTGCTGTGGATGAGGCATTGGAAGCTGATTTGGGTTCTCTGGTACACCGGGACGCGTTGGCTTCATCTGTCTTCCTCGCTTTCGTGAGTTTGAGTCACCTAGAATGAGACATCATTAGCATATGTGCCTTGTATTCGGCCGCGCGCGCCAGTGATACAGAGCCATCGGCGCAACACTCTCGAGCGAATCTTGCAAATTTGGAATTAAGGACGACATACCACCATCTCCCAAGTTATCGTTCTGCGTCAAACCACCATAATTATCGGGCGAGCGACTTCGTTTGATGCCCCGTGGGGTCTGTTGGTCGGAAGCTATATTTGCGGTTGAGTTTGCCAGAGCTGCTACGAAGCCAAATCAGTACGGTTCGCAATGAATCCCGTCGCATCAATAATATCGATACGATGACCACCGGTGCCAACCTCCGGACTTCGGTAGCCAACGGCCTATTAGACACAAAATGGATCTCTTACCTGAATTGAGCGCGGCGGGATTGATAGTTCCTGAGCCGTCGGTGACTAAACCGTTGGTGGTTTGCGTCGAGTACATGGCCACGGGCACGATGAAGCGATGAAGCACACGAGTGCTCAACCCTCACCCTCAGCGCGTTTGCGCCGGAAGCGCGACAGGATAGAGAAAAGAGATGGTTCCGCTGCATAGAAAGTCGAAAGGTGCATATACTGTTCTGTAAGCGACCAGGAATGAGGCCTGGGGATGCACCGGATGATTGGCCTCTGAGGCTGTTGGAGGGGGCAAAGGTTCGCAATGCGCGACAGTCGAGGAAATTGAAAGACCCGTCCAGTTGGGATGGAGGTGTCTGTAGTGCTCGGTCGGTGGTGGTCGAGTGAGGGGAAGGGGTGCCCCACGATTGGCAGTAAACGCAGCGCGCCGCGGGCAGCAGGAAGAGGCTCTATCTTTTTTGATAGAGCAACGGGTTAGCGGTGATGATGGTAGTGGTGGTGCTAGTGCTCAAGCTCTTTCGGGTTCTTCTAGGGCTTCCAAGGACGTGTAGCTGGTTAGCTGGCTTGCTGCCAAAAGCAATGCGGATGCGGGCGCCAGTGAGAAGGGTGTAGGGGGCCTGGGAGACTGGGAGTCGGGGGGGGGGG